TAAGTGAAATTTCTGTGGGTTGGCAACCCTGATCGGGGACAACTTTTTATTTCAGAAGTTTGAAAAAACTACTGGGGGGAAGCTGTTCTAGATTTGATTTTAACAAATATGGAGGAAGCTGGTTGAGAATTGAAAGTGGAAGGCAGCTTTGGTGAAAGTGATCATGAAATCATAGAGTTCATGATTCTAAGGAATGGTAGAAGGGAGAACAGCAAAATAGAGACAGTGGATTTCAGGAAGGTAGTTTTTAGTAAACTCAGCTGGTAGGTAACGTCCCATGAGAAGCAAAACTAAGAGGAAAAACTACCGATTGGAGTTGGCAGTTTTTTAAAAGGACATTATTAAGGTCCCAATAGCAAAATATTCCACTGCGTAGGAAAGAAAGAAAGTATGGCAAGAGACCACCTTGAATCAATCAGGAGCTCTTATATGATCTAAAAATCAAAAAGGAATCATATAAAAATTGGAAACTAGGTAAATTACAAAGGATGAATATGAGCAAACGCCGCAGGTATGCAGGGTCAAGATTAGAAAGGCAAAGGCACAAAACGAGCTAAATCCAGCTAGAGACACAAAGGGTAACAAGAAGATGTTCTACAAATATATTAAAAGCAAGAAGATGACCAAGAGGGCCCATTGCTCAGTGAGCATAGAGAAACAGTAACCAGAAATTTGGAAATGGCAGAGATGCTTAATGACTTCTTTGTTTTGGTCTTCACCTAGAAGTCTGATGAAGGGATGCCTAACACTAACATAGTGAATGCTAGTGGGAAGAGGGTAGATTTAGAAGATAAACTAAAAAAAAGAAAGTTAAAATTCACTTAGAAAAGATAGATGTCTGCAAGTCACCAGGGCCCAATGAAATGCATCCTAGAATACTCAAGGCGCTGATAGAGGAGCTATCTGAGCCTTTAGCTATCATCTTTGAAAAATCATGGAAGATGTGAGAGATTCCACAAGACTGGAAAAGGGCAAATATAGTGCCCATCTATAAAAAGGGAAATAAGAACAATCCAAGAAACTACAGACCAGTCAGTTTAAATTCTGTGCCAGGAAAAATAATGGAGCAAGTAATTAAGGAATTCATCTACAAACATCTGGAAGGTAATAGGATGATAGATAGCAGCCAGCATGGATTTGTAAAGAACAAATCATGTCAAACCAATCTGATAGCTTTCTTTGATAGTATAACGAGTTTGTGGGTAAGGGAAAAGTGGTGGACGTGGGTTACCTAGACTTGAGTAAAGCATTTGATACAGTCTCACATGATCTTATCAATAAATCAGGCAAATACAACTTAGATGTGGCTGTTATAAGGTGGGTACATAACTGGATGGATAACTGTTCTCAGAGAGTAGTTATTAACAGTTCACAATCCTACTGGAAGGGCATAAGTGGGATTCCGCAGGGGGTCTGTTTTGGGACCAGTTCTGTTCAATATCTTCATCAGTGATTTACATGAAGGCATAGAAAGTACACTTATTAAGTTGCAGATGATACCAAACTGGGAGGGGTTGCAAGTGCTTTGAAGGATAGGGTCAAAACTCAAAATGATCTGGACAAACTGGAGATACGGTCTGAGGTCAACAGGAAGAAGTTTAATAAGGATAAATGCGAAGTACTCCCCTTAGGAAGGAACAATCCGTTTCACACATACATGATGGGATGCGATTGTCTAGGGAGGAGTACTGCAAAAAGGGATCTAGTGGTCATAGTGAACCACAAGCTAAATATGAGTAAAAAAAAAATATGATTTTGGGATGCATGAACAGGAGTGTTGTGAGCAAGACACAAGAAGTCAACCTTCCGCTCTGCTCTGCACTGATCAGGCCTCAGTTGAAGTATTGTGTCCAGTTCTGGGCACCACATTTCAAGAAAGATGTGGAGAAATTGGAGAAGGTCCAGAGAAGAGCAACAAGAATGATTACAAGTCTAGAGAACATGACCTATGAGTGAAGAATGAAAGAACTGGGCTTGTTTTGTTTAGCAAAAAGAAAACTGAGAGGGGACATGATAGCAGTTTTCAGGTATCTAAAAGGGTGTCACAAGTAGGAAGGAGAAAAATTGTCTCCTTGGCCTCTGATGATAGGACAAGAAACAATGCGCTTAAATTGCAGCAAGGGAGGTTTAGGTTGGACATTAGGAAAAACTTCCTGTCAGGGTGGTTAAACACAGGAATAAGTTGCCTAGGGAGGTTGTGGAATCTCCATCTCTGGAGATATTTAAGATCAGGTTAGACAAACATCTATCAGGGAGGGTTCTAGATGATGCTGGGTCCTGCTATGAGGGCAGGGGACTGGACTTGATGACCTCTTGAGGTCCCTTCCAGTGGTAGTATTCTAATAGTAAGTCAGATAGTATCTGACTTGTCTGACCTGCAGGCAATGGAACTGATTCATGCCGTGTATCATTCTTTGGAATTTCACCCATTGTTAGCTTCTTAGATGGTCTGGCTAGTTTGAAGCCCATTGCTTGGCTTGTGTTATTGGTCAAAAACTCGGGAAGCACCAGGGTGCTCTGTCCCACAGCAACACTGCAAAGTTCTGCATTGCAGTCCAGACCCATTGTAGCTGATTGGCCTGTCAGGGCAGCTTACAAAGATCTCTTGGTTTCCCAAAGCCTATTAGCCTTTGGCAGATTATTTGGATTAGGCCTTTTAACCTCAGGGGATATTGTCAGATATTGCACATTGGAGTCTGGGGGACTCCTTCCATAAGTAAGGACCAAGCAGGATTCCTCCACGACATGTAAGGTCTCAAATGTGCCTGCATGCCAGAAGGGTACTGAAAGGGAGAAAGCAAAAAGAAGTTGCAAGATTTGGAGCAAGACCCGTGTGACAGAGCACATTCCCTGTTCAGGGAAGAATGCAGATTGATACGTGGGGCTCTCACTCCATGCACGTTGCTGGCCTAATAGTAAGCTTCTGCATAGTGTTTTTCATTTGCAGCTCTTAGGGATGTGAAACTGATGAGCCTGGGTGCAGTTACCTGCAGCCCCCTCCATCCACGCTGCTGACTCCGTATTAGGGGCAGCAGCATGGGGGGGCGGAAAGGAGAGGCAGGAGTGGGGATGCATAGGTACCAGGTCCCATGGAGCCACCTGCCCCTCCCCCACCACTGCTGCCTGTGAATAGAGGCAGCAGCATGGGGGGGGGGGGGGAGGCGCCCCACAGGGAC